TTTTTTTTTTTTTTTTTTTTTTTTTTTTTTTTTTTTTTTTTTTTTTCCTTTCTTTTGTATAATAAATATAATAGATCTTTTATGAAGAAAAAGAATATTCATTATGTGTTATCGAATTCCACGCGTTGAATGTCGTTGCGTTGGAATCGATGCTCGGGTCTTTGCGATTCGATAATGGGCACATGTAACTTTGCTATTAATTTGAATATAATTAAAATTAACTGCGGTAACAATATAACGCTGTATTAGTTTTATATAATAATTTCGTGTAAAGAAGAGAAACAAAAAAGAAAAAGTAACGAAATTAATGTATTTGCTAAATTTAAAAAAAAATAAAATTCAGCGTGATATAATGTAATATACGATATACCTCTGAAAGATTGTATAATCGTAATTTAAAAGATTTATCGGGTAGTTTGCTTGGAGTACAAAGTGTATTTGTGATTCAAATTATGTGCAGTTTCCTATATTTTCTATTAAATTAAATATCTCGTATATTTTATAAAAATTTTTTTATTTATATAAAAAAATTTCTTATATAAAACATTATTGGAAATGATTATAAAATTATATTTACATTCACCACTTTATTCAGTATCATTAATCATTTTACATTTTTAAAATACATTTTGTACTATTGCTTCCATAAAGCAAAAATTGGCTAATTTCATTAAATATGGAGTGGTATTTTTTATTTCTAATCATAGATATTTTTAAGATTATAATTCTGAAAAAGATTTTTTTTTTCTATTTTTAATTAAACAAAAAGCATTATAAGTTTGCTTTTTCTATATATTTGTCTCTAGAAATAGAGAAAACATTTCTATACAAAATCTAATATCATAATAATAAATATATCATTTTATTATTTCTGTAAAAAGAATTCTACGTAAACGTGAAAAAGATAACAATATATATTATAATAATTGATATTATTCGATTTATTTAGATATTTGTGTTTACTTATTTGGCGTGTAGTTTTCTTTAATAAAAAAAATTATATTTAAAAGAAGCACTTTAAAAAAACGATTGATTAGTATGGATTGTTTTATTAAAACGGATCCGGATATTGAATTAAAATATCGTGTCAATTGTCCGTTTTAACTATAGTCAATTGTTTTCATTTTTTTTTTTTTAATTCTTCTTGTTTAATCATAATTATCGTAATCAAGTGCAATATATTTTTGCGAATTTCATTAAAGCGTTTACCCGCAGCAAATACCAAGTTTTAATCAAATCTTAAGTAATAAAAAAAATAAATAATCAGACGATAGCAATTCAATACTTTTTTATGTATAAGTATAGGGACAAGTTTTGATCATTTTGATTTTTTAAATTAATTTTAAACGTTTAACGACATTTACGTTTCATCTTTGAAAAAGAAAAATAATATTGTCTCTAGCGATCTTGTAAGGCCATGTATTTCATATTTATATATTAAGGGTAAAAGATAAAAATATCGTAAGCTTGGTTTTGCGACAATGTTGTTTAATGCTTTAAGTTACCTGAATATATCGTATATATTTGAAAGATCATTTGACACCAAATTTTTAAAATATAAAACAAAAAAAACAAATAAAAAAAAATCTTACAATTGCATATTAACGATTGTTGCATTATCAAGCTTATCCTAATTATGTATATTATAATGATAACAACTACTGAAATATAGACATGAAAAAGATGATAAATTTATTAATGCGCGTGCATGCGTCACATGGAGTTAAATGAACGATATCGTTCATCACTCCGTAGAAATCTAGATTAATATATTATGATAAATATATCTAAGTATATCCGAACAGTTAGATATTACGTACTATTTAAAAAAAAAAAGAAAAAAAAACAAGAAAGAAAAAAATAATGAGGGAAAAATTAATGAATATTACAGGGTCACTTTACCAGTGACACAAAATATATGTCACATATGGAGCGTAAAATTTTCATATTATATTCGTAGAAAAAGAAAAAGAGATATATAAAGAAAATGAGAAATGGTAATAGAAAGGAAAAGGAATAGTATAAAGTATGCATTGTGCAAAGATACATCTAGAGAGGTGAAATAAATATATATATGTATAATATATATTGCTCATGCGTATATACATTATGTATATATATGTTGTACACGACATGAATATGAAAAAGAGATAAAGAAAACTATGATGCCGTACCGAAAACACTTGATACAAGTAATTTTTCCAACAATACATGTAAAGAATTCCTCTATAATTTATTCGTGGCATCGCTCCTTGTAATTTGCTAAAAAGTCTAACAAGGAATAAATAGAAATAATGTTTATATGAATAATTATTATTATCTTATTATTATTGATAATATTATTATTATTATTATATTATTGATAAAATTATACGTTACAAGAATAAAATTAAGAGTTGATTCATGCTTTTAAGAGATTTAGTTTCGTGCTTGTTCTAAAAATAGCAAGCAAATATCAGATCCAATCGTTCCCTTTGAATCAAAGCGACTTTATAAAATATATTAGTGAAATAGATGTTATTTTATTTTTTCACTAACAAACACGATTTATTATTTTTGTGTATAATTTTTAATAAAATTTCTATCTAAATGATCTTATATTTCCTGACAGAGATAAAAATCATTTGAATGGAAACGCTTTGATTCAAAGTGAAGTATGATGGTGAAGGAAAAAATTCAAAATATGATTTACTTTAGATAGAATGAAATATGTATAGAATTTTATTATGCACCATTGTAATATTATGTATCCCAGTTGTGACACAATATACACTGGTGTTATGTTAAATGTGAATATTACGTGTTCTGTCTTATATGTAATAATTTCCCATGCTTTAATTTTATTTTGAATAAAATTTTTAGCATAAATCGATAATATTATAATAACAAGATTCATAAATTCAAAATCAATGGATCGATATTTTATAATGATTCTAAAGATGTAACATTCCTTTTGACACACATAAAATATACAAATAAAATAATAATTAATATTATATACAAAATGTCACAGCTTAAGTGAAATAGCAGAATATCTTATTGAAATAGAAAGAAATTCTCAACAAAAAATTAAAAATTTTATTGTTCAATTCAAAAAAAGATATTTTTTTCTTGCAGAAAGATTTTAAAATTAATTTCATTTTCTTAAATAGAATTATTTGTAATACATTAATTGATTTCTCTAGGCATTCTTTATAAATTAATATAAATCTATTTATGTTTAAAAATTATTGATTTAGCTATTTTAATTTAAATATTTCGTTTTTATTTCGCTATTATTAGAATTCGAAGATATATCGTATTTCGTAGTCAAACAGATAAAAACACACACATTAAATAATAGAAAATATAAGCAATTCAAGGTAATAAAGACGAAACAAAAAACTATTTAAAATTAGTTAGATTATTCTTTGATTTTTCTTCAAAAATTTATGAATGTTTTGATAAAACTTGAAAACTTTTAATAAAACAAATTAAAATAACGAAATAAAAAATTTAAAAAAAATATGTAAAAAAATTTTATTTTATTATATTATATATTTCAGTTATAGAAAAAGATATAGTTATAATAAATTCAATTCAAGCCAGATAAAGATTAAGAAAATAAAAATTATATTGCACAAAATATTGATAACAATCTGCATTCGTAATAAATAAAATAATTATCAATATTGTAGACAATATATAAGTATGTATATATTGAATATTATTTATAAAAATAATCGAACTATATTTTTTATAATGAGTTCATTTTTATTTAAAAAATACATCATCATAATTATTTTTCTATTATATATAATTAGAAAAAATGGAAAAAAAATCTCAATTTTAAATTATAATTATAAAATGAAATTTAAATTAGATAAAATTAAATATATCAATAAATTATATTGTATCGGTTTTCTTGAATAAATAACATTGAAGAAATGTAGATTTCTTCAATCCAGTATAAGTTATTGGATAATTATAAATTAAACTCCGAGATTCCTCATCTTCATCATCAAATTTATGATTATTCTTACGTGCTGTACAAAAAATAATTTTAATTCAAATTAATTCCGTCTTAATTTTAGGAATAAGAAGTAAAAATATTTAAAAAATCGGTACCTTCGTTAACAAAAAAATCAGCAAAATATTGTGCAATTATAGTGGAATCTTTCCCGTGCGGAATTTTTTTTCCTTTAATCCATTCATATAAATTCTTCTCAGGATGAAATTGCAAAGCGTAAAAAGGTAAAGTAACATGTTCTAATGAAGAAATAAATCGAATTTTAGTCGGATCATTATTTAAAGACAATATCCGAAATTTTTTTCTTATACCAACATCATCCAAATTCTGAAAGAATCAAGGTTATAGATTTCAAAATACTATCTGATAAATATAACTTACTTTTATTGTAATACAATATTTATGATAATTTCCTGTCACGTTCTTAGTTTTTAATATATCTATAACATTAGATGAAGTATTGCCAAACATTCTACTATTTCGAAAATCTGAAATATATAAAGAAATATGTTTTTCTTCATAAAAAGAAATTATTATTAAAAATATATAGAAATAATAAACCTTTTGTGAATTCTAATGGAAGTCGTTGATTCATACTATTACAATGTGTTCTGTGTTCAACGCGATTAGCAGCAACATATGTTAACAATTCAAATCCCAAACATATTCCAAAAAGTGGAAAATAATCACCATTTTTATTCATCTTTTTCATAATGCTGAAAAAATGATTGTAAAAAATATTTAAAAAATTTTTAATACTGCAAATCAATAAATAAATATATATATATATAGTTATAGTTATATATTATAGTTATAGTTTTTTAGTATATTATAATTTTTTCTATAAATATGTAAGTAAAAAATTTCCAGTCTTATCTTAAGAAACAAATATTTTTATAAATATTTTTATTACTTATAAATCATATAGCCTGCATCTGCATATCCATTACTTTGGTTAAAATATGTTGATCCACCAGGCCATAAAACTCTATAATAATAAAAATAATCACATCAATTCTAAGAAAATGGACTTGTCAAAAAACTATTTTCATGTCGATACTAAATTTGAAATATATTTAAATAATTTTTTTTATATCTAAAATTTTTGTCAATATACGAAAGTATTTTTTTATAATGTATATTGAACTGATTGATTAGATTGAATTTGATTTGTGTTAAGTTTCGATTCGATGATTACTAATCGAAATAAATAATTAAAATAATCTTGTTTTTAACTAATTTAAATAATAACAATTTATTGAATAGTGATCTACAACTTAATAAATTGTTTTTTTTCAGTTGATACAAATTGAATTGGATAAAAATATGATGATTATGAAATGGCTATCTATGTGTAGGCATATTTTGAAAGCTAAAGCAGACCATCACACTGTTTAATTTTCTATATTATTAATAATACAAAAAAATGTTTCAAATAAAAGTTTAATAATTTCAGCGAGCATACAATTTAATATAAGTAATTAATTTTTCTTGTACATATAGAGAACAATTTTGTTTTTTTAAATTGAATTATAAGTTTTATCACACTATTCATTAGAAACATTTACATTTTCAAATAAAATATTTTAAAGTTTTTATTGGCATAAAATTGTTAATTCAAAAAATATTTTTATTTTTTGAACATCATATACTTTCTTAAAGTTCAAATATAATTTAGCCCTTTTAGATTTAACTTATTCCTCAATGATCTATTAATTCTTTCTATAAAAATTATTTCACATTTTTTGATGGAAATTTTTTAATAATTAATTATTAATAATGATTTTCTGATTTCAAATTGTTAGATGTTATATAATTTGTATTTCAATAATTGGATACATAGATGGTTTTATTGAATTTTCGCTAAGATCGTCTGATTTGATATTTTTTTTTTAGATTTCTTTTTATAGAAATATTTAAAAAATAAAAAATATATATAAAAAAATGTAAATTACTAATTTGAAACAGATTATTAAGAAATACCAAAATATTTTTATAGAAAGGCTGAAAAGAATTGATCATTTAAAAATAATGTATATTTCTATAACCAGGCTGAAAGATATACATTTAAACATTAGATTTCAAAAAAATACGTAATATTCAAATAAAAATCTTCTAAATTAATAATTTTATTCCATAAAGACCTTTTTATAAGAAATATAATAAAAAATATATAATTCAATCAAAAAATAAAATTGTTCTTTACATTTTCTATATCTATTTACAAAAAATTAATTAAGCCAAATTATATAGCCTCTGAAAAAATTAAACTATTATTTCAGATATATTTTTGAATCATCAATAGTATGATATTCGAATGGATATTCTCGAAATATATCCTATATATATTTTTATATATATTTAACAAAATATAAAAATACATTTTTTTTCTCACCCATTTATTTTATTTAAAAGTTCTTCGTAGTACGACTTATTCTTTCCGATCCTAAAAAAAAGCAATAAAAGATATTAATTTTAAATAAATTTTGCAATTTTGTGTCAATATAAATAATATGTTTCTTAATGTACATTCATATATAAAATATCTGGTAAAAGAAAAGTTAATAAAAAAATTCTAAATAAATTCTAATAAATATTTATTTTTAATTCGTATAAATTAATAAATAAAATAATATAACTTTG